TAGTATCTAAATATTTATTGGCTTTTTGCTGTTGGATAAATTTTGTGAGAAATGCAAGCACTTCCACATTTTTTCTTAGAAGTACTACAAACTTCATTAATCAAGGAAAAGAACTGGACGAGAGGACAGCATAAGCTATGGAATCGAGCAGACAGATCAGCATTTTGTGAATGTTTATGTTGGTTCTCATATTCACTGTTGGCACCAGTGGCTAAACACCCTTGGGGAACCACAAAGAATACTAAAGAGAGAAAACGTCACACTCCTCACTCTGACCAGAGGTCAATAAGTAACATTAGTTCCGGATTCAGCGAGTCAAATATTTTTCTGGTCGACTACTTACCTAGATAAAACTAACACCCACTTTTAAATTAAAACAGATTGAAGGACTACATTTCCTCTAAAGACAGGTTAACCTGTTGCCCATAAACATTCAAATAAATTTGCTGAAGATCTGGAAAGCAAGCCCTGGATACAATAACTTCAACATTTCAACAGGGTATTTCTTACTACTGGAGTAAATGAATAAAACAATGGCACATCCTTGGACAAAATTCTATTTCACTTAACATAGATTCTCATCAGCAGGTTCAAAAAAGAAAAACTACAGTAACTCTCCTCTACTGATGACATCAAGGACATGATCCTTCACATTAATTCTTCCTCGAAACAATGTTGAGAAATGAAAAATTAATTTCCTTTTTTGTTCTGATTATTATTTTTACTAGCAGTTCATTTATAAACCATATTTTCCCTTTTTAGTGAATATTACCTCTAATCCGTTCCTTCTAGCATAAGAAATCCTTACAGTTCTGCTACAGAAATATTACGACATCATAAATAACACAAACTATTTGATTTCAACATCATGCAGCATGCATAATTCTAACCAGCAGCTCACGTTACATGTTAAGAACATAAGGAGAAGCTTTGTTGACTCAGATGCTGCTCTTTTGGGCAATCCACACAAAGAAAGCACTCTCTATTCACAATTCCTGAAACACAACAAATGTGAATGCATTATTCCTTAGATCCTAACAGTAGCACAGAGTACCATATCTATTTATTTACAAGCCAGAATAATGTTCTTACCCTATCTTTTTATTTAATTATTTAATATAAATAAAAAGATAGGGGTAGTACATTATCTTTTGAAAATTGTTAGTTTCGTATCACATTAGATGTTGGGAAGAAAATTTAGATACTTCCACCTTTGCTAATCATTTGATTCAATTTCACCACTCTTTTGATCCCAAAGATAAATTCAAAATTCTTCACTTAGCAAACACATGAAAAGAAAAAACAATTTTGGAAAATTTTAAAACATCTCAAACAACCTACTTTTTTATTGTGAACTAACATTCCCTTGTAAAAAGCAGTCCAATTTTAAATCTTTTTAATGACTAGCTCCTCCTACACTTTCAGTCTTGTCCTCTTTTATGGGCTTTCACTTCTCACATTCCACAAGATGGCAGCAAGTTTTAGCACATTGCTTAGCTAAAGAGTGGACTCCAGCTTACAGCTAGGACATCAGTAGAGCTCAGAAGTATGGCAAAATGCTTATTTGTTAATAATACTATTTTGAGACTTTTCTGAATAGGAATCACTTAATTGTACTTCTGGGGTTGTTTTAGTGGATTTTCATTTTGCCCATTTTAGTTTCTGGTGCTTATTCTTGTCATTGTTTTTATTTTTGCCTTTTACCCATTGCTGGTGCTAGGCATATGCAGACTGGACAATCACCTGAGGCTCTGTAAGTCAAGGGACTCAATGGGAAAAAATTACTAAAAAACTGAAAAGAAATTAGAACTTGAGAAAATGGTTATCATGATTTTTTTATATCAAGGTACAGTAGTCTCGTATTTCATAAAATTTTCCATTTATTTTTTACCTTCAATAATTCATTATAGTCCTTTCTGATAAAGAGGACTCATTCCTATTTATGTAGGTTTCAGATGAAAGTTACATTTACTGTAGGTATGTATCTATGAAATGGAAAAATTTATGCAATCAAACAACACTAACATTAAAATAGATTCTACTGAAATTCATATTTATTATTTCATGTATTTGACAACAATGATTTTATTAAACACCAACTCCCCCCCCCCATTTTAAGCTCCCCATGAAAATTGAATTATTTGATCATTAAATACTTTTACTTAAAAGTATTATTTAAAATATATTTCCAATTTATTTCTCTTTTAAACGTAATTTTTGTTATTTGTTGCAATAAAATAACTCGTGTCTTGATACAACTTTCACATTTTTAATGGGGGGGCTACGTTTCACAATTGCCCAGAGTCCAAAATTGTCTAGCTGCAGCACTACATACATTAGATCATTATTTTTCCTTTTTTTCTTAGAAGCAGAGGGTGTCTAAATTAAAAATTAAAGTGATACCAGTCCAGATTTTTCTTCTTTTCTTTTTCACTAATGCCGTTGGGCTTTGTTTGCTCACAAGAAATACCATCCTTAATATATTTTGATAACAGAGCTCTTTGTATAAGATACACCCTTCTCAGTGATGAGGATTACACAAGTGCAAAGAACAAAAAATATAATTCTGTTATACACATGACTATCTAGTATTGAGATTACAAAGAAAAGCGTTTCCTTACACGTTAAGTGCTAATGTAAATTATAGAGTTGGAATAAAAATGTGAATTATTTTAATCATTAATTTTTACATAATTCAATTTAAATGTGACTTTTTATTGTTTACATATCTTTTTGCAACCCTTTCTTAGCTAAAATAAGTGCCTTTTTCAATGCCTATTTGCAATAAAAATAAATGTACTTTTGCCTGCCTATTTTGGGTAAAATAAACGCCGGAACTTCCGAGCTCTAGTCATCGGTCATGAGTGGTTAAGGGTTGGCCATGAATAGAACAGTCAAATGTAGTGATACAAATAATATCTTTAAATATGTAACTGTTAGCATGACTGCCAAAATAACCATTAGTACTTCTGATACATTTACAGGCTGAGGTTGAAAAAAGTTAAATATTCATGTCTAAATATTACAAATAATTGCATCACCTTTAGATAAACTTGAATAACATTACAAAACACTATAACAAAATATTGTAATATTTTCAGAAGGATGCTCACCTTGTCTTCTTAAAGATCAGAAGCTTGCACTTGGCAGTTTTAAAGATTGTTGCAGAAACTCTGAAAAATTAATCTCCTCACAAAGTTGCACAACATTGAACCTGTAACCCACAGGTAATTCAGAAGTATATTATCATTCACAATTTTATGACACGAATAAGTTAGGAAAGGGAAAATTAAAGGTCCAGAGGCAAGGAAGTCTTATTCTTTGCCTTCACAGAATCATACTCACCTTTATAAATAACTTGCAATTAACTTCAGCATTTACGATTACCAAAATTCTGGAAAAAATTAACATTCTGTAATAACATTCTTCCATAGCAGTAAATAAGCAATCTTAAATATTACTCAGACACTAATATCCTCAAATAATTTCAGAAATATGCTTGTCTCATTACAATGATCATCATTTAAGAAATATTTAGAACTGAAACACAATTAATCGTAATTTAAAACCAACCGAAAAGATCCAATTGAAGCAGCATGAAGATCCAACAAAGAACACCAATCTAAAAAAAAAAAAGTAAAACTTAAACAATTTAGTTTCTCGTAAAAGCTAGGGCCTCACTACAAGCCCAGAATTAACAACTACCCCAACGTCAACCTCTGATAGAATCTCTTCATTCCACAAATTGTTCCGTTTCAAAAATGATAAATTAATCTAAGTGAACTTCTCAGAAAATTACTAACAGGAAAATAAAAATTAAACTTTCATGAGCTAAATAACATCTGTGAAAACTAAATAGTTTCTTTTCATCCCATTGAAATAATCATTACATCTACTATAACTTTGGTAGAGAGTAAAGGCCACAGTATGTCTGTTTTTAACTGTGGTCTAATGTTTAAACTTCTTGTTAACACACTACGAAACAAAGGACTTGTTTAAAATTGTCAAAATTATAATAACATTCCCTGGCCTTACTTTCTGTTACTTCAATTCATGAGAGAGAAAAATAATCTCTCTCTTCAAATTATTGATTAGGATGAAGGAAGGCCTGTCATTAACATGTACAAAAAATACAAAAAAAATTAAGTAATGCCTAAAGTAGGGTTCATATATTGTTTTAAAATAAACACGGTTTGCTTAACGTTTCTCCTGAAAATATTGTGAAATCACAAATGACATGTCTAATAATTCATGTTCTCTTACTTTATATTTTCTTGTACCTGGATAACTGGGATTTCACTGGTTCTCTTTGACTGAATGTGAAGGATAACGTGGTGTCACATGTCAAAAATTCTGCTTTGTGATTAACTAAGGTTTTTGGAAAAAATTTGATTTTGCCAGCAAAATCCCAAAAGCTATTGTGAAAGAATTGATAGAAACACTAATAGACGATTTTTTCAGCTTCCAGTTTGAATGCTATAACTTTTTTGCAAAGTTGCATAGTGTACATTAAAGATAAGGAAAAACAATTTTCACTTCACAGCAATATAGGTAAGAATGTAAATACATTAAAAGGTCCCCAGATATACATTACATAAGGATTACAAAACGTCCCTCTCGATTTTTCACGTGATCTTAAGTAGAAAGCAAATATAATAATGCTAATAAATTAATATTTTTGTCGTTGCATCTACAAATCATTGCGAAGTCCTGACAAAGTTTCTCGGGACAAAGGGACAGAAATCCAAAAAACAGGTCTATACAGTATTTTACAGGACGTGTACAAACTCTAGCCTAAAGAAAATAAATTTGTCATATTAATACACTATCAATATACCAATCACTAACGCTATCAATGTACCAATTCATGGGTTGTAATAGTCGCGAATAGAAAAGCACATTTGAGCATTTACTCGAACTCAACAAAAAATAAGAAGATTAATAACATTAATTTCTACAGAAAAACATTTCATCAATGATCAATATCAGAGTTCACTTACCTTAAAACAAACATCAGCGTGTAACAGTTCATGGTACCTTTAGGCATACGTTTCTTAATAAACTTCTTGCTCTGCTGAGACATTGGTGCAAAGAAAGTCGTCAATCGACTATTAGTTTCGAAAACTATACGCTGTGAACCAAATGAAAGGCGCATCCCGGAAAGTGGGGGCAAAAAATGGAAAAAACCTTAATTTCGTAGTATTTTTAATGAATCACGAATGTAAGTACAACTCGCCGACGAGAGACTCATTGGTGCAAAGAAGACGTCAATCCGACTATTAGTTTGAAAATATACGCTTGGAACCAAATGAAGGCGCAATCCGGAAAATTGGGCAAAAAATGGAAAAAACCTAATTTCGTAGTATTTTTATGAAATCACAGTATGTAAGTACAACTCGCGACGAGAGACTCATTGGTGCAAAGAAGACGTCCAATCCGACTATTAGTTTCGAAAATATACGCTTGGACCAAATGAAGGCGCATCCCCGGAAATGTGGGCCCAAAAAAAAATTGGAAAAAACCTAATTTCGTAGTATTTTATGAAATATACGTATGTAATGTACAACTCGCGACGAGAGATCCATGGTGCAAAGAAGACGTCAATCCGGACTATTAGTTTCGAAAAAATATACGCCTTGAACCAATGGGAAGGCGCAATCCCGGAAATTTGGGCAAAAAATGGAAAAACCTTAATTGGCCGTAGTAATTTTTTATTAAATCACGTATGTAAAAACAACTCGCGACGAGAGACTCATTGTGTGCAAAGAAGTCGTCAATCCGACTATTAGTTTCGAGAGAACAGACGCTAGAACCAAAATGAAGGCGCAATCCGGAATTGGGCAAAAAATGAAAAAAAAAACCTAATTTCGTTAGTATTTTAATGAAATCACGTATGTAAGTACAAATCGCGACGAGAGACCATTGGTAACAAAGAAGAGCGTCAATCGACTATTAAGTTTTCGAAATATACGCTTGGAACCAAATGAAGGCGCATCTGGAAATTGGGGCAAAAAAAATGGAAAAAAACCTAATTTCGTAGTATTTTTATGAAATCACGTATGAAAGTACAACTCGCGACGAGAGAGACTCATTGGTGCAAAAGAAGGGACGTCAATTCCGGACTATTAGGTTCGAAAATATACGCTTGGAACCAAATGAAGGCGCAATCCGAAATTGGGGCAAAAAAAATTGGAAAAAAACCTAATTTTCCGTAGTATTTTTATTGAAATCACGTATGTTAAGTAAAACCGCGACGAGAGACTCATTCGGTGCCAAAGAAGACGTCCAACTCCGACTATTAGTTTCCAAAATATACGCTTGGAAACCAAATGAAGGCGGCAATCCGGAAATTGGGGCAAAAAAATGGAAAAAACCTAATTCGTAGTATTTTTATGAAATCACGTATGTAGAGTAAAATTGCGACAAGAGACTCATTGGTGCAAAGAAGTCGCAATCGCGACTATTAGTTTCGAAAGATATACACGGCTTGAACCAAATGAAGGCGCAATCCGGAAATTGGGGCAAAAAAATGGAAAAAACCTTATTATTCGTAGTAATTTTATGAAATCACGCGTATGTAAGTACAAACTCCGGCGACGAGAGACTCTTTGGTGCAAAGAAGGTGTCATATCCCGACTATTAGTTTCGAAAATATACGCTTGGAACCACAATGAGGCGGCCAATCCCGGAAATTGGGGCAAAAAAATGGAAAAAACCTAATTTCGTAGTATTTTTTATGAAATCACGTATGTAAGTACAACTCGCGACGAGAGACTCATTGGTGCAAAGAAGACGTCAATCCGACTATTAGTTTCGAAAATATACGCTTGGACACAAATGAAGGCGCAATCCGGAAATTGGGGCAAAAAAATGGAAAAAACCTAATTTCGTAGGATTTTTATGAAATCACGTATGTAAGTACAACTCGCGACGAGAGATCATTGGTACAAAGAAGACGTCAATCCGACTATTAGTTCGAAATATACGCTTGGAACCAATGAAGCGCAATCCGGAAATTGGGCAAAAAAAATGGAAAAAACCTAATTTCGTAGTATTTTTATGAAATCACGTATGTAAGTAAAACTCGCGACGGAGACTCATTGGTGCAAAGAAGCGTCAATCCGACTATTAGTTTCGAAAATATACGCTTGGAACCAAATGAAGGCGCAATCCGGAAATTGGGGCAAAAAAAATGGAAAAACTAATTTCGTAGTATTTTTATGAATCACGTATGTAAGTACAACTCGCGAACGAGAGACTCATTGGGCAAAGAAGACGTCAATCCGACTATTAGTTTCGAAAATATACGCTTGGAACCAATGAAGGCGCAATCCGGAAATTGGGCAAAAAAATTGGAAAAAAACCTAATTTTCGTAGTGATTTTTTATGAAATATCGTATGTAAGTACAACTCGCGACGAGAGACTCATTGGTGCAAAAGAAGTCGTCAATCCGACTTATAGTTTCGAAAATATTACGCTTGGAACCAAAATGAAGAGCGCAATCCGGAAATTGGGCAAAAAAATGGAAAAACCTAATTTCATGTATTTTTATGAAATCACGTATGTAAGTAAAACATCGCGACGAGAGACTCATTGTGCAAAGAAGTCGTCAATCCGACTATTAGTTTCGAAAATATACGCTTGGAACCAAATGAAGGCGCAATCCGGAAATGGTGGCAAAAAAATGGAAAAAACCTTAATTTCGTAGTATTTTTATGAAATCACGTATGTAAGTACAACTCGCGACGAGAAACTATTGGTGCAAAGAAGTCGTCAATCGACTATTAGTTTTCGAAAATATACGCTTGGAACCAAATGAAGCGCAATCCGGAAATTGGGGCAAAAATCGGAAAAACCTAATTTCGTAGTATTTTTATGAAATCACGTAGTAAGTACAACTCGCGACGAGAGACTCATTGGTGCAAAGAAGACGTCAATCCGGACTATTAGTTTCGAAAACATACGCTTGAACAATGAAGGCAAAATCCGGAAATTGGGCAAAAAAATGGAAAAAAACCTCATTCGTAGGATTTTTATGAAATCACGTATGTAAGTACAAACTCGCGACGAGAAACTCATTGGTGCAAGAGAAGACGTCAATCGACTATTAGTTTCGAAAATATACGCTTGAAGCAAATGAAGGAAATCCGGAATTTGGGCAAAAAATTGGAAAAAACGAATTTCGTAGTGTTTTTATGAAATACTATGTAGAGTACAACTCGCGACGAGAAACTCATGCTGCAAAGAAGACGTCAATCCGACTATTAGTTTCGAAAAATATACGCTTGGAAC